CCGCCAGAGTACAAAACATGGAATCATTTCGAGGCACCCAATTCGTCGTGGACGAAGCCCTTATTCATAACGGAAGCTGGCCCTGGAGCTACTGACTCTCTGATGGGTTTTGACCAAGACCCATTGAGACTCGAGAGTTCTGATTTCAGTGTGGTGGAAGCGAGACCTTACTGTAACGCGCTGTTGTCTCTGGCTCTTGGCAGAGAATCGGTCTTCTTCTCTTGGGAAGAGGAGACGACTACGTTCAAGCCGGCTCTCCCGAAGATCAGGATCTCGGGCTACTCTGGAAAGACTATCCAGGAGGTTCAGAAAGCATGCTTAAGATGTGGGAACACCTATCGGCGACTACGACAATTTGTCGAAACAACGTACAAGAAACATCCAACACCATGCCGGGTAGCTTTGGCAAGCTCTGTGGACAAGGCGCTTTTGGTCATTCAGAGCAGCATTGCCTTGCACCACCAGTCACCGAGGTCGATTCTTCAGGTCCAGTCACTCATTGGCCAAACGTACACCATCCTAAAGCAGTTCGATTCTCTAGTGGCCAAAATACGACGTGGTCATCTAGATGAGGACGTATTTGTCATTGTATACCAACAAGCACAATCGGCAGAGTATGCCGAGATACACCTGAGAGATATGATGCGCGAGGTCTTGCGGCGGGTCTCGCGACCTTGGATCGAGTTGGTCGAGGAGTGGATTGGCACTCGACGTGAAGTCGGCGTTCCTTTAGGCAAGCATGAAGTCGGCAGGCAGAAAGGCTTTATCAAGGTCGAGTCCGAGACTTACATTGATGACTTCGGAGACGAGGTTGACGAGGTCGATTACCGTTTGGACACTGAACGGATACCCAGCTTCATGCCTGATGACATAGTCAAATCACTGTTCGAGGTCGGACGAAACCTTCGGTTCATCAGAACTACCCACCCGAGTCATCCCTTGGCACAGTCAAGAACCGTCTCGTCAAGTCGACCACCTACGCTTGAGTGGCTCTTCGACTGGGACGCTATAGTTCTTTTAGAGAGTAAGGTTCATTCGTACGAGCATGAGCTGCGGAATGCTATTCAGCAATATAGCCCAGAAACGCTCACTAACCTCGAGATACCAAGATGGCCGATGGGCGGTGCAGCGGGGTACCAGCTACAGTTCTTTGGTCTCGACGAAATCCAATTGCAGGATCGACTGGAGGCATCTATACAGGACTTTGCACAGCCCATGGGCGACTCGACTGCGGAGGATCCGTTGGGAATCATCATCAGAGAGCGCCTGGCTGATGTCAGGACAGAGGTTGGAAACGCCGGTACCGACTTCACCCCTCATTGGTCTCTGCTTCCAGTTCTTTCATTCGGCTCCATCATCTCGGTCCAATCAAAGGTCGTCGGCAGAGAGAGCTTGAAGTTACTGTTCACATCCCATGACCTCAGACAGCACCTGAGCTTGCAAAAGGAATTCCAGCTCCTTGGAAACGGATTCTTCTGCAGCCGCCTCTCTCACGCACTATTTGATCCAGACCTCGAGACGGCCGAGAGACAGGCCGGCGTCGCTCATCAAGGTGGAGTAATGGGTCTAAGGCTTAGTGGTAGAGACACATGGCCTCCTGCCAGTTCAGAGCTGCGCCTAGCGCTGATGGGCGTCTTGACTGAGAGTTACGAAGGCCCTGTGAAAGGGGGCTCATCTCAATCACGAGATGGCGAAGCCCATGAACTTCCCGGCGATCTCAGCTTTGGTGTGCGAAGCCTTTCCAACGAGGAGATCGATAAATGCATGGATCCGGATGGACTGGAGGCACTTGACTTTCTTCGGCTATCTTACAAGCCTCCCCAGGCATTGGGATCCATCATCACGCCAATCATACTGGTGCAGTATGATCGGATCTTCAAACTGCTGTTGCGCGTCTTGCGGATGCAGTACACAGTCAACCGGCTCTTCCGGGATGTCACAGCCAGAGAGTCTGGATGGCACGACGTTGAGGATGTTTCGGTCCGTTTTTGCTACGAGGCTCGTCACTTTGTGGCGGGCATCAGCAGCTACATCTTCGACATTGGAATTGAGATGCCATGGCGGGCGTTTGGAAGTCTCCTGGACAAAGTAGAGGCAGACTTGAAAAGCGACGAGGTGACAACACTGTCAGGATCGGCCATCAGTCCCGATCGCCTGCGCGAGCAACACTCTCAGGTTCTTGATCGGATTATGCTGGCACTGCTCCTGAGGAAGAGACAGCAGCCCATTCTCAAGCTGCTCGATGACATATTCAGAGTCATACTCAAGTTTGCCAAATTCGCCAGACTCCGGGCCGACGGGCGAAGCTCTCGTAGCCAGGGCGATGCGACGGCCAAGAGCCTGTACAAGACCTTCAGACGAAACGTTGAGGTTTTCCTGACGGTCTGCAAAGGACTCAGCGAGAAGGGAGACTACGGCGGCAAGAAGGATGTTGCTGGCGACAAGGAAGGTTCGGAAAGAATCGATGCGTTGGACAACAACCCTATCGCTCAACTGGTGCTGAAACTCGACATGTTCAGTTATTATTCGAAGGCATGATGGACAAGGGTTGGCGAGTCGGTTGATGCAGAGATGCCCTGGTGCTAAACAAATAAAAAAAAATCTGTGGTGCACTAATGGCGTCTGCAACATAGAAAATACGGGTTTTCGCAAGACAAAAATTGCCGAAGTGCTGGAAATCTGGTCGACTTCATGAATGACTTCGGATGATAGAAGCTTAAAGTTAGGTAGGCAGGCCTTGTCCGGGCTATGTTTCTACCCAAGGAGGTAGGTAGATAAGTAAACTTACGTGCCCCGCCATATTTTGCCAGCGATGCCCTGGCGTCAGTGCCCCGCATCGCGTGTCCCACTATTGAGGTCCGCGTTTGTTGACCACTTTCCATCATTGGACGAAACACGCACCTGAACAAAACAAACGCAGCCGCTCTTGCGACCGATACTTTGCAACGGCTATACTTTGTATCGCACGCAGACAACATGTCTCGCCCAGGCCCCTCAGCACGCAACTTGACTCTGACGGAAGAGCTGGAAAAGCTCGAGCAGTCTATTACTCTGACGCTGCAAGGTAATCTGGTTTCATTGAAGAACTGTTGGTCTATCAAACAGTGTGACATAGCGACTGACCGAATGTGCTTCAGAGATCGACTCCAACTTCAGCAAAGCTCACCGGATCGTGACCACCAGCATTTTACCCATCGTTGAGCAATATGGCGAGAACTCTAGAAATGTTTGGGAGGCTTCCAAGGTGCATCCAATTCTTCTTTGGTTCAAGGCGGAACTAACCTGAGCATATAGTTCTGGAAGCAATTCTTCGAGGCCTCGGCCAACGTGTCGCTTTCTGGCTACGAAGAGCTCGCGAATGATGAGGACGAGACCGCGGCCAACGAGGAATCCACCGTTCAAGACGAGACGTCGGTCAACTACACCCCACGACGCGAGGACGGCGCCGAAGACGAGTCGACAGCATCAGCCGCCGAGTCTACATTTCAAGCCGAGGAGTCCATGATCGGCGGCGATGATGACCTGACGGGTAGTACCCCGCGTCTTCCCAAGACCAAGACTATTCAGACTCAATTTTCCAGCCTCGAGTCTCCCTACGAGGCGCTCAAGCGGGAACTCAAGGGCGAGCCGCCGGCACCGCATGAAGAGGACGATGAGGACGAAGACCTTGGCATCGGCGAAGACTCGACGATTCTCTTTGCACAGCACACTGCCCGTTTGCCAGACATGTCGATGACGCCTCGAACATCGCTCGCCCCAGCCGGTCAACAGTCTGCGCAGCCTCACAAGGACCCTCTGATGCACCGCATGCTCGACAAGACATTCCGTATACAGGCCACACCGCACAAGGGCCCTACCTATCGCGTCTCTCCGCTGAAGCGAGAAGCGAAGCCCAAAGAGGAGGAAGATGTACCCACGTGGAAACGCCAGGACTCGCCCATGTCGTCGCCAGTTATGGCTGTTCCGACGCTACGAAGCGAGGCTTTCATGTCACCCACCAAGTCCAGGCGTCTCGCTGCAGCCACAGCAGCTGCAGGTCCCCGCACCCCCGGTGTCAGCGTCCAGACGCCTGTTACGGGCCGGAAGACCAAGGACGTCTTCGCCAGCAAGCCTATTTTCCGGAGTGCCTACGATGACGACACCACCACGACAGATATGGGTGCTGCTGGTCTAGCAAAGGACAAGTACGAGATCAACTGGGAGAGCGACAGCGACGAGGAACAGGGGCTATATGGGGGCATGAGTCCGCCGAAGACGATCCAGTTTGCGCTGCCACAATCGAAGTTGCTTCAGACGCCAGGTAAGTCGCACATTTGAAGAATCGTGCGAACGCTGTTTGCTAACGGAATCTTAGCTCGGGAAGCCAGCAAGCGCATTGTGGACGATATTCTGATGACGGCAGGTGCCGAACCGGAGAGCCCGGAATATAGTCCTACGATGGTCAAGATGAACGAAGACATTCTCGATGAGAGCTTTTGAGCTGATTGCTTGACATGGAAGAATAAAGACTGGCCATCAAACGTCCAATATTTGTATTGATAAGATACCCAAGACTTGCGCCTTCAATTTGGTCAACTTTTCTCGTCGAAATTGCCATAAGGAACAAACCCGGCCGACAAAAAAAAATGCCCCCTGTGGGAGTCATACCACCAGTATTAGCGCCGACCCGTATATCGCCCCCGTCTAATACGAAAGAAACCCCAAAACTCCTAGAAAGATTCCCAGCCCAAATAATCAAAACAGTTCAGCGGGGCTGTAGCAGCATCCCGCGGGTCGTTACTACCGCTCCTTGAAGCCACTGTACTGCTTTTCGCCCATCGCTTCTTTGCTCTACAGGTCGTTGCGAATGGAAGAGGACCAGTATTCTGACTGCGAAGAGAGAAATCATGTCAGAAACTCATGGCTTGGAAAAGAAGACAAAAAGACGCGAACCAGAGCACGAGGAAACCATTCGAGGTACATCTCGTGTCGCATGGTACGTGTGTCTCCGAGGACCAGTTTTAAAGTGAAAGGCGTACTTGGTTCTGGAGGACCTGGCCGCTGGCGTCACCAGCGGCGCGCTGGCGAGCAATCAGGGAAGAAGACTTTTTTGAGGATGAGGCCTTGTTATCATGAGAACGGTGCAGCTTGTCCTTCAGAAGAGTGACGGAGCTGCCGAAGCTGGAGATTGAGGCGGCGTCGGAGTCCTTGCGATGTTGTTGGCCGTAAATGGACTGTGTCTGAGAGCCCTGGGCGGCGGAGCCTTGCTGAATGGCGGAGAGGACGGCGTAGCTGTGTTGCTTGTCGCCGGTGATGGAGCTGGAGAAGCTGGAGTGCATGCCGGACATGATTGCGGTGTTGGTGATCTTCTGGGTGGGTGGGTTGGCTATGGATGGAAAACGTGTCGGGCTTGAGAAGGGAGAATGGTATGAGGAAGCTGTTGTTGGTTGCTTGTGTAGTTGATCTGTCTGAGTGATGATGATCCAAAAACCTCAGGCTTCCAGAGAAAGACGAGCTCTACTTATACGACAACGACACTCTTCTCGAACAAACATCTTACAAAGCGCTGTAACCCCCAAACAGCTGTCAGTCAGAAACAAGTCGAACCAGGATTCAGAGGTTGACTCGGAATGGCCTACAAGGCAGCCTGGTACCCATCCAAGCTTATTCGTAGACAACGGCAGTCGTCACCCGTCAAACGTCAACGCAACCAGCCATCACTGCCGTCGTCGACACCCCCGTAAGCCCGGGTGAAAGTGGATCGGGGCCACTCGTCGTCGCCCGAGTCGATCTTACCGCCGGGGCGGGTGTGGAAGGTAAGCTGAGCTAGACCGTAGGCGTTGCTGGGCAGGGGTGGAGGGTAGAAATGGAGGAACATCTGCCCGAAAAGACTCACAATCGCAATTTCAGCATGCAGAAACAAACGTGACTCACTACGCATGGCATGCGCCTCATGCGGCGCACTCACTCATGACTGCCTCGTGGATGGGTGCCAATTCGAGGCCAAACGTTGACTTGACGCACGCGTCGGGATTGGCTACAGACAGGCAGAGAGATGCGATGTGACGGGAACGCGGAACAGCAGCTGTTGGGGTGCAGAAGCGGTAAGCAGCCATGGGCATTTGGGATTTGGATTATACTGGTAGATGACAGTCATCTTACCAAAACAAAATGGAGCCCTCGAAGCTGTGTGGCTTACTTTACCTCGCCTTACTCTACTTTGAACCTGCGAAGTGCGCGTGACTGACTGGCGAACAGCCTAGGAGCCTGACAGGTGTCGCGAGAAAGCTGGGAAATATTTCCCGTTTGTGAGAATCGACATTGCCCAGGGAATTCATTCTTAGGCTGCAGCGGGCAATCAGGGCAGGCAGACGCTGCATCGCCAGGCTGTGAAAGCTTGTCCTGTTGGTTCACGTTGGCGCAGAGAGGTTCGGAAACCTGGCCGGAGAACGACCCACTTGCAATACCGCTTTCACTGCAGATTGTGTCGCAAAACCTTTCCTCATCAGTTAAGACTTTGCCAGCCCTGTTCCGCAGCGCCGCGATACAGCCCCCCTCCGCTCATGTCCATCCGGGCTGACTCATAGGCGGCTTGTGTTCCTAGATACCTAATGGTGCAGTCGCTTTTGGGGGCACCAGTCGCCGGTTGTCATTCGCTTCGTAGGCCTTGTGGGGCTAGATGACGCAGACTTCAGTGTTCGCTTATCGGTTCGGTGCCGACTCGCTTCGCTCCGGACACCTTCTGGGACCCAACGCTAACCGGACGGGAGACTGCGGAAGTTGAGGCAGTGAAATCTACCCCATGGATATCCAGGGTCCCTCTACAAGACTCACATCTATCTGTCAACCCCCCTGCCTTGGGCAAGAAAAAATATCGCAACAAATCATACGAATCACGAGCGCATGTGTTCCAGTGAATAACATCAACTTCAGCTCCGACTCAAGCCGGCTCTCGCCGTCGACTGACCGCTGCCTCGAGAATTGCTCGGGGTATCATCTCTCTGTTGCGCACGCGAATATTCGGAATTGCCGCAGATAATGGTCAGCTCGGCAAAACAAGCTTGACTTCATGGTTGTGGTCATTAGATCGCAGTCGTTCGCGACTACGTAACTGCGCGCGACACTGCCTGCTGTCATCATCCTTGGCGGGGCCGCGTGGCTGGCCTGTCGCGGCAGCTGCACATATCGCCGCGCAACTCATCCACTGCCTTTAACTACCTTAACTTAGCCCGCTTTGATTGAAAATTCCTCCTCTAGGCGCGGTTTTTCTTGAAGCGTTGGAGTCACAAAGAGCTCAACGTTGACATGGATCCTGCCGCGTTGCATGACATGAGAGTATACAACCCAGCCTTATCTGCTCAGCATGTGCCAATGACTCTGCGTTGTGACTGGCGCAGAATTTGGTTGTGGCTATTCACTTTTCTCGTCGCTGTTTCGACGCAGCCTCAACTAATGTAGATGTGTTGTATCCGACTGATCCAGGTTGGATCCCCGATGTCCGAAGACCCTCATTTTCCTGGCTCATATGGAGTGGCCCGATGTGGTTGAGTTCAGCTGCCTCACACGGGATGAGATGAACGGTTGGCGTCGCTCCCGCGAGACAAGACGAAAACCATCAAGGTAATGTCGACTTGGGAACGTTGAACAATATCATACAATGATGATGTAGTTGTGAGGTATCTGCCATCTTGTCCGTGTCCCGCAGCAATGGAAGGGGTGGTCTGTGTCAGTCAGACGACAGCAGCGCAGAGGGCCTACGCCGAATGCCTCCACAAACCTTATTTAGAGCCTCAAGATGGGAAAGGCGTCATCGAGCTCCCAAGACGGTCTAGAGCAGACTGCTGAGGCCACAGACGCCAACCAGGCATTACCCCGCCAAAGTGACCAGCAGAGAGCTGCTTATTAAGATCGTATTCGTATTTCTTGCACAAGAAGCTAGGTGGAGCTCTTGAAGATCAGCGCGGTTGATTGGCCGGGTCAGATGCCACAGGTCAGGGGTAGCTGCTGCAGATTGGTCAATGAGAAAGCTCCAAGCACCATGGCGCAACGGGGGTTGGTTGCATTGCACAATGCATACATATGTACGCAGAAGAGCATAACCGGCCTCGGCTCCAACCAAGAGAATGATTATTCGTACATCGCTGAGAGGGTATTCCAACTCCACCGGGGGAATTATGTCTATGAAACAGCGTTGCCCGGATGTGCTGCCCGCCGAGTGAGTGCATTGGTTTGGTTTTTTCACTGGCAGGTCACCGACAGAACGCCACAATCTGAGCAGGTGGGAAAGTACCGCCATGTACGCGATACTTTACAGTCGAAGCGCCTTTTAGCTTGCCTCCTAGCTGCTGGGTTAGGGAACACAGGGTGACACTGACAGTTGACAGTGGAAGCCAAGCGGCGGCACATCGAGAATTCGAACCATCCGAATTGAAGGTAGTGCCCCGCGATTGATGATTCTGTTGGACGCAGCCCGCCTTGACTTGGTAGTGGAACTCTGGCCAGAAGTTGCGCGGATGCGAGTCCTCGGGCTCGTTCGATATTGCGTGTTGTCGACAAATCGCATCCATCGGAATACGTGGGAGGGAAAAGTACGGATACCTCAGACTTGGAGGAAATATTGATCCTTGAAGCGCTGGATCACAGGCCATGAAAGGAGAACCCCACGCCTCGCGCCATTCGGAGTCGGGATGTTCGCGCTCATTGACGGCGGCCGATTTGGATGCGCACCCAATGAGACCAAACAGAAAGTCATTCAGCCAGGATAGACACACAAGGCGCAGTGCGACGGGCGAGGAATGGCGTTGGACTGGAGACTGAATGGGCAGGTTCTTGCGTGTCGGAGACGAGTTGGCCCCGAACGCCCTGGCACATGGTCGTCCAATGGTCCCAGGAGATTTGCGCGACACTAGTTGGACCCAACAGATTCGGAGACTAAACCGTTTTGGTGCGATCCGTACAAAAGCCGTTCAGTTTCGATTGAGACAGCTGCGGAAAGCAAATTGGGTTCTGCAGGCGATATTGAGGTGCTGCGGCGCGAACGGATGTTTTATTTTCTGCTGGTCGTCGTCCGAATCAATCATGGGCAGAAGCTGCGACGCCCATCCCTTCTGGTTCTCTGGCCGTTACGCTGCCTTTTGTGAACCGTCGTCATGCAGGCCGTCTCTGGCTCTATCAGAACAAGCATGCTGCTGCTTATCAAAATTTGGGTAGGCAAGTGCGCTTCACCTTAGCTGGTGGTATTACGGAGCTGCCAATTGACCATCAGAGGCAAGGCAAGGCAAGACGGGAAAGTCTGATCGAAAAGACGGGACGCAGGGAATCCCAACCGCCCTGCGAAGCCTGCGAAGGTTTTGTCTGTGTCTTTATTCCAGGGACTTCCATTCACGGACTGGAAACCGCAGGCCCCCCGCCTGCAACTGCAACAGCCCTGCCTCGAGGAACTCAGCTGGCTGGCTTCGTCCCAACGACAGGCACATGGCATGAGTCCGAGGGTCAAATGGCGGTGGTGCTATCCGTACGGATACTGAATCAGAAGGAAGAAAAAAAAATTCACAACCGACCATCACACAAGCTAAACGGGGCAAACCCACAATTCCATCACTTTTTTCATCGCGCTCTCTGGCCCCCCGGCAGTAACGCTAATCGCCGGCGCATCAAGCCTGGCTCTTCCCTGTAGCCTCCTAAGCTGGTCCTGGTCCTGGTCCTGGTCGACCTGTTTGCTGTCAACAACACAGGGCACCTAGAAGATCTAGTACCGGAGACAGGATTGCCTATGAGCGGGACAGAAATGACCGCCTGCAGAGGTAGAAAGCAGAGAAGGCCCAGAAGGTAGGTATGGAAGGTCGTCCGGCGCAGGTACCGGTACCTCCAAGTGACGGAGGGGGGGTGAAGACTTACCACCTTACCACGCTTTTCACCTGGCCTACCACGAACACAACCTCATCCGGTATCCACTTCCTCCCATGTCCCCGTCCCCGTAACCGTCCAGGCCCATGTCCGCATCCACGGGAAGATAATCAACTCCCTTCTTTTAATCTTCCATCACCTCCCTACCTTCTGCTCTCCTTTCTCAAGGTAGTGATCCCTCAACCCTCGCTGGAGAGTCGAACCACAACCCTCACTCGCCCTGCCCATCGACTCTTTTCCCAGGACGAAGTGCGCCAGACGATTTTCTCTCATCGTGCGCTGCGCTTGAGTAGAGCTGACCATTCTCTTTGCGCCTGGAGGTGGTGTTTTGTGTGTGTTTTCCCCCTTTCCACCTAGACGACCTCGAACCCGAAAACATCGATACCCTCCACCTCGAATTCGGCCACAACCATGGAGTCCAACGCGACTACCTTCACCTCGGTGTTGGCCAATGCCAAGCTTGGCAATGTCAATGTCCCTCCCCAGATCGACTACATGATCGAGACCGTCACCAACGCCAGCGCCTGGACCATTCTCTTCACGCTGTTGGCCCTCGCCGTCGCATATGATCAGAGTGAGTCGCGTGCTCCGGGTCGCAAGTTGCCATGTTCGACCATCTAACCAGGCGCAGTCAGCTACATCACGTCCAAGGGCACCATTGCCGGCCCTACCTTCAAGATGCCCTTCATTGGTCCCTTCTTGGAGTCCGTCAACCCCAAGTTCGAGGAATACAAGGCCAAATGGGCCAGCGGTCCCCTCAGCTGTGTCTCCGTCTTCCACAAGTTCGTGTCCCGAGCTCTCATTCGCACACATCGATATCTGACCACCCTAGGTTCGTTGTCATTGCCTCAACTCGTGATATGGCCCGTAAGGTCTTCAACTCCCCCGGATACGTTAAGCCCTGCGTTGTCGACGCCGCCCACAAGCTCCTTGGCCCCACCAACTGGGTGTTCCTCGACGGCAAGCCCCATGTCGACTTCCGCAAGGGACTCAACGGCCTCTTCACTCGCCAGGCCCTGGCTTCTTACCTGCCCGGTCAGGAGCAGGTTTACAAGCAGTACTTCCAAGAGTTCTTGCAGACCACCAAGAACGCTGGCGACAAGCCTGTTCCCTTCATGCCGCATCTCCGTGATCTCATGACGGCCGTTTCCTGCCGCACCTTTGTCGGCTTCTACATCTCGGACGAGGCCGTTCGCAAGATCTCCGCCGACTACTTCCTCATCACTGAGGCTCTCGAACTGGTCAACTTCCCCATCATTCTCCCCTACACCAAGACCTGGTACGGCAAGAAGGCGGCCGACATGGTCATCGCCGAGTTCGCCAAGTGCGCCGCCAAGAGCAAGGTGCGCATGGCTGCTGGAGGTGATATTACCTGTATCATGGACGGCTGGGTCAAGTCCATCCTGGACTCCAAGAAGTGGCGCGAGGCCGAGGCTGCCGGTTCCACCGAGGGTCTTGAGAAGCCGACTCCTCTTCTCCGCGAGTTCACCGACTACGAGATCGCCCAAACCGTCTTCACTTTCCTCTTCGCCTCTCAGGATGCCACCAGCAGTGCTGCCACTTGGCTCTTCCAGGTCACTGCCCAGCGCCCTGATGTTCTTGACCGCATTCGTGAGGAGAACCTCAAGGTCCGTAACGGAAACCGTCATGCCGAGCTCAACATGGACCAGCTTGAATCTTTGACCTACACCCGTGCTGTTGTTCGCGAGCTCCTCCGCTGGCGCCCTCCTGTCATCATGGTGCCATACTTGGCCAAGAAGCCTTTCCCTATCACCGACACGTACACCGTCCCCAAGGGTAAGCTTTTTGTTTCGCATTCTTGGGAGTCTTTCTGACAAAACCTAGGCGCCATGATCATTCCCACCGTCTACCCTGCGCTCCGCGACCCCGAGGTTTACGACCGCCCCGATGAGTTCGATCCCGAAAGATACTACACCGGCGATGCTGAGGCCAAGGGCGCGAAGAACTTCCTCGTTTTTGGCGTTGGTCCTCACTACTGCCTCGGCCAGGTCTACGCTCAGCTGAACCTGGCTCTAATGATTGGCAAGGCGTCCATTCTGATGGACTGGGTGCACCACGCTACCCCATTGTCTGAGGAGATCAAGGTGTTTGCGACCATTTTTCCCAAGGTATGTTTGTCATGTTCTGAAGGGGAGCGAAAAGGATGCTAAGAAGTTTAGGACGACTGCCCTCTGACCTTCAAGGAGCGCGCATAAAGTATAAAAGCTCCTTTGTAGGTGTGCAAAGCTAGCTTTGCTGACTAGGCTCATCCAATGAATGTGATGAGTGCGGTGTTAGAGTGGTTATACGGGATCACCGCTAGCGCATCCCGTGGATGACAGGCGCCACAAAAAGGCTGACGAAACAGGAGGCTCGTAAAAGACGAGTCGAGATTGGTCGACGTCGGTTGTCTAGACTAAAATTTGTAATGAACGTTTGTATATACATAATACCTTAGGCATGGCCTCACGGCTGGGCGATTTCGGCATGTTGTCGTTTCCAGGGACCACGAGTTCCGGGAGAGGGGGGTAGGCCATCCTGTCTGAATGATGCTAGAGAGATAGATTCAGAGCAGCGCCAATGACACGCTTTCAAAGTTATGTCGTATCCGAACCGGTGGTTTTTGTGCTGTCTTGGTGCGATTGACATCATTCTTCTCGCAGCAACCGGCCACCTCTGGCGGCTCATTTCCCAACGAGGCTACCGAACCAGCCAGTGCCTGTGTGAATCCATCACCAGATCCTTGGCCCTGAGAATGGCGATGCTTCGGCTGTCAAAGTTGGAAGGACGTCTGGAACAGAATGTCTTAGTGCGAGCGAGGTCGGGAGGTGGGCGCGTCTGCTCAAAAACGCCGAATCGAATGAACCCCGGTGACATCAGTGGGGACGAACGGACCCTTGCTGCACTGCAGTCGAGCGGGCACTGTTGTCGCCGTACCTGGATCCAGTAGCAACCAATCGTCTGAAGCTCCGAAAGTGGCTACCAACACCACACACACACACAAACCACGTCCGTGGCCGGCGCCCATCCAGAAAGATCCGATACAGTATGTCAGCCACAAGAAGGGCATATTCGAATGCGCTTCGCGCGAGTGGCCGCATCGCCGCGCCCGCTGGCCTCGCAAGACAGGCTTTCGCCATTGCTGCGTCGTCGTCGAAGAGCTTCCGGCCTGCAGACTGCGCAACGGCGAACCGGTCTCTCGCGGCCATTGCGCCAAGATTCTACTCTTCAAAGTCTGGAGCGGACGACTACCATGAGATCTCGGCCACGGGTAGCAAGCTGTGGAGCTTTGAGCAGATGGAGAAGCTTGCCAAGGATGGCAAGCCAAACGTGGTGATTATTGGTATGTAAACTGTTTGTGGTTTCCCCCGTCATCTCCCACCTCTTACAGATCTTGAGTGTCATCACGATGCAGGCTGCTGACAAGGGCGATCTATGGCCAGATGCCCGTGAGCCTGGCGAGCTTGTGCAGACGGGCTGCATCCCCGGTGCCATCAACATCCCTGTTGGGACAGCGCCTCAAAGCTTTCACATGACCTCGGAGGACTTTGAGGACCTACACGGCTTCAAGCGCCCAGGCCAAGACCAGGAGCTGATCATGTACTGCAAGGCTGGTGTGCGTAGTCGGGCGCTGGCGTCACTGGCCAAGGAGGCCGGATGGAAGAACGTCGGGGAGTACCCTGGCAGCTGGCTCGACTGGGAGAAGAACGGGGGACCGGTTCAGAAAAAGAAGGAGCACTAAGGAGTGATGGGTGAAAGTCACGGCTGGTTTGGCATCAAATCTATGGGCCATGTCTATGGGTTGCGCGTAGCATAGACAGTTGCATTCGGGTCAATCATGATATTCGTTATACAATAATGGTACATGTGGTGGTCTGCACCAAGCCGGATGACGCGGCAATGCGCGGCAATGCCCAATTCCCAAATTCAAACCCAAACAATGACGATGGATCTTTCTCTTCCATTTGATCCTTCTAACTGACTCTACAAACACAGGAGGGAGGACAGAAGGCACTCGAGCTCAGTTCAGAAGAGTTGAGGGGGTTGGCCTTCAGCGGGCGGCGCAGCGGCGGGAGGCTGTGCTGGGGTGCTCGCGACGGGGCTTCCATGCGCAAAGAAGAGGATCTTGATGGCCAGGGAGAGGCCGAGGTGAAGCGCGACGACGACGATGAGGAGAATCTTGCTCGTCTGGTGGTCTGTAGCACTCAACACAGGGTAAAGGTTTCGCAGAAGGAAAGCGACAGACATGCCACAGCCGACGGCGACGAACACCCAGTTGAGGATGTTGATGGGCGACCAACTGATGAGAGCGACAGGAATCCAAATGAGATTGGCATAGCCATAGAGGGCCCAGCATTCAAGGAGGTTTGCAGACTCGGACCCGAAGTAACGGAGAGCGACGTATAGGCCGACGGGGACGAAGAGGGTGTAGCCGTAGATAAGGCCGGCAGCACCTGGGGCACGAAAGGTCAGCATGTCTGTGCAGATACGAGATAGTCGTTGGATGTTGAGACTCACCACTCAGAAGCTTGAAGTCGTAGGCAAACGGCCCTGTACCGGTGCTGGAGAGGTACTGGCTGATGGTGCCTCCAAGGAAGAGAATCAAGACGACTGTCGTCGCAATCCAAAAGGGACCGTATAAGTCGGGATTACCCTCGAGAACATCAAGGAAGTTGGCTCGGGGGAAGAGCGCGGCCCAGCAACGAGACAGGACGGCTGACGTGTCGACATCGAAGTACTGAGCATAGAAGTTCAGGCTCCACAGGAAGCGCTTCGAGGAGCTCGAGGAAGCTGTCGCAGGAGGAGGGAGGCCAGACGCGGGTGGCTTGCGACTGCCTGGTGTTGTGTCTGCGAAGTTCGAGGTGTGAAATTCGAGGTCGTCTTGAAGATCGGTGTGACCGAGGTCACCCTGCGAAAAAAATCAGCAACCCGGGTTGGAGTGGAAGCGAGGGATGAAGCTCTCTACCTCATCGTCGACATCTACAACAGCATCGTACCCGGAACCTGAAGGCATAGCTGCTGTACGCAAGGCGGAGAACTCTTCGGAAAGGAATGAAACTTTAGGTGACAACCTGACGAAAGAGGCATGTACGCGCGCGCCGCGATCGTCGTTTGTAGGCCCTGAAGTCGATGTGTTCCGGAATCGTGAATGTCCAGTGTCTGGAGCTCGGGAGAAGCATAGGTGTCGTAATCCCACGTATGCAATTTGGCCCTGGACACTGCAGCTCCCTGCGTGACCGGCCCCACCAGGAACATCCTCCCTGCACCGTGTGCGCAATGCCCACCCGCATATACTTGCGACACTACGCTGGATAACTCAATAACCCCGATTTATGCATGGAGCCAGACGTAACGAGACCGACTGATGGATGGCAACAGACACTTTACACATCAAGGTTCAAAATCGCTTGGGTTTGAGGCTCTGTTATTTTTGTTTTCTACGGTGCTGATCTTCATCGTATCATCAATGAAGTATGCCAGTCGCCATCCCGCATCCATCATAGTACGTCTCTCATGCTCGTTAGCATCTCCATGCAGCACTCAGGACGCCCCGGGCGCTCTCGCCATACGATTCAGCCTCCGATCGAGGACGGACGGGTTTGAGGTAGGGCGACCAATTCAGTTTTTATTCGAAGAACTGCTTGCCGGTGTGAAGTAATGCTACCACAAAGCCCGATGAATCAAGGAAAATATTTTCATCCCTGCCATCCTCTCCAGAATGCCAGAACCCGTGACGCCGCATCCGTAATAAATCGTCTATTTGAGCTTCTTCTTGGGGCGGAGCTGGTTGGTGTGACCGCACTTGCGCTTACGGCAGTTGGTCGCACGGGGAGGGAGACGAGCCTGGGCGGTGTTAGATGAGTCGGTCGAGGGAAATGGATCCGCTGAGCAGGCGAGGACCACTTACGTAGCACTTGCGGCAGATCATCTTGTCGCAGTTGAACTTGGAGGCCAGAGCCTTGAGCGAGGGCTCGATGATACCACCGCGGAGGCGGAGGACCAGGTGGAGGGTGGACTCCTGCGCAAATTGTCAGCTCCCGTTTCGTTCCGCGTCCAGCCCTCATATCCTTCATCGTCGACATTTACACCTCCTCATATCCCTGCGAGAGTGAAATGCGGTGTTCCACTAACCTTCTGGATGTTGTAGTCGGAGAGGGTGCGGCCGTCCTCAAGCTGCTTGCCGGCGAAGATCAAGCGCTGCTGGTCGGGGGGGATGCCCTCCTTGTCCTGGATCTTGGACTTGACATTGTCGATCGTGTCGGAGGACTCGACCTCAAGGGTAATGGTCTTACCCGTCAGGGTCTTCACGAAACTGTAGCCACCATCGTCAGTCCATCGGCGTTTTCGAGATAGCGGTCGTCGCACGGAAGGAGGGAATCGCGGCGGGTAAATCTTGTTTTCGGGGGTGCTCACATCTGCACTGAAGGTAAAATGTTAGCATCACCGTCAATCGAGCGACGCGCGCGCGCCGACGTCCGTCAGGAGGGGGTGCCCGTGTACTTACTCTTGCCGACCTCTCGCGAACTGGCTGTTGTTACCGAAGAAGTTCTGGTGATCGCGGCAAACTGATGGTGGGGCGGGCTTGAGAACGGTGTTCACGGCGAGAGATCAAAAACAAAAAGCCCTAATTAGGGCACGCGGTAGGTCACATGGATTACGGATAGGCGGGTGCAGGTGCGGTCGACCCCAAAGCGGGTTCCCACCCTGTGCAGCACTGTGGGAACAACCGTAGCTCCCAGAGCACCGCCCTGCAACACTACCCAGCCAGCCTACCTAGGTAAGTAGGCACCTCACTTAGGTACTTGCCTACACTACCTACGGCGAAGGCCCCCGACCTCAGCCCTGCGGCAGGCCACTGTCGCTGAGACCGCTGCAGATACCTGAGGTGAGGTAATCAGCGTACCTATTCGCACTACCTGACCTTGGTAGGTAGGTTGCCTTCCCTACATAGGGTACCTAGGTCGGGTATCATGGATAGATGACTTCACATGTGAGCTCGTTAACCCTGCGTTTGAATGTTCCCATGTCATGCCCTGTACAAAGGCGCAATTGCTCTAAATGTCGTGAATTCCGTGGATGAATCTATGGTATCTTGGGTATCAAAAACCTCTTTCCTCCTTGCCCCCCATTTGCTTTTCAGCAAAGACTGCGTGCACAGCCATCAGTCGTCTGGCGTGGGCAGCCCGCCATCAAGCTCTACGCTCATGGCTGATCGGGACCGCTCACGACGTTCACTTGCCCCTCTGCGTTGCTCTCTTTGCCAAACGAGGATGTTTGCCTCGAGCATGTTGACGGCTCGCAACAACATACCGACTGACAGACCAGAGAGACGACCAGCAAGCCGGAAGAAATCCCTACCCGCAGGGGGCAGATCATCCTCGGACCTGTAGGAGTATTGTCTATTCTTCTTCAGACCCTCCTCTTCCATTGTTTCATGGACGGCGAACGACGCAGCCCGTCCTTGAACTGTGCGTAGCCTTTCCTCTATCTCATCTTGAGGGGCCTCAGATGGCGGCTGCTTGGGCGGCAGTTCATCAACTGGAAAGTATCTGGCGAGCACTGAATCCTCCGCTGGTCGTAGTTAGTCATGCAACCTAGAGCAATTAAACGTCCGAAGACTTACACTGTGCGTCTGTGAGCATTGACAGCTGAGTAAAATACTCATCCAGCTCTGTTTGCCCCATCGACGTAATGTGTGAAGCCGTTACACCAAGGTAATCAGCGGTGGGAACAGTTTCTGGGGCCAATGCTGGCGCCATGGACGCCCGCCACTCATCCCACTTGAAGTCTGGTATCAAGAAAAGCTTTCCTTCTTGCACCGGTGACTTGGATTCCTCGAGGGGGAAGCAGTGGATGGTCGTGAGAACAATGACGGCAACAAGCAGAATTTCAGGCTGGTGTATAAGTCTCAGTCGAGACTTGCCTAATGGAAATTCATACGGCAGGTTGACGATGAGTGGTATCCTGCGAGCAACCGATATCGTCTCAACTACTGGCTGTCAGCAACGGCACGATAGCCATACCCACGTGAGCCTTACTGGGCAGTCCAAGCTCTCGGACGTACTGCAATGTCATCAGGACGTCATTTAGGGGAGGGAAAACTATGCCGTAGTTGGAATTAAACGACAGAGCGAGACTCAGTACGGCAGCATGCAGCTCCCCATGATCAAATTTGGCCAAGTGTGCTGATTTCAATACAGTTGAATAGTATGCTGGTAACCGGTCACGCATCTCTTGGGGCAGTTTTCGATACTGGTCATATCAGCAGACACTCTTAACGCCATTGACGCTCAAGCTTACACTATGCTTGTAGGGAATGTTTCCCGCCCTCGCCCACCTAGCCAAATCTCCTGTCCGTGTCGGCATTCTGAGAAGCATGCACCCAAGAAAGCAGAGCGCCAGAGTATCCATCAGTCGCGGAGCGGGCCACTCGCTCCCACTCTCGGTGGTCCAGTTCTGTGCTCCCTGTGTGCGATTGCTAAGTTGCTCGTCCTGCGAGAGGTCGATTTGGGAGCTGAAGAGGGAGAGCTCGGCCTCTGAAGCAGAGTCGTTCTCGACAGCACTCGCGGCTCCTCGTGTGCGAAGATCCCAAAGGTCGCGAACTACAGTCTCGAGCTCTCCCTTGTGACCTTTGACGTCGACCAACCACATCACCTGTTCCCTCAGTATGAGTTGAAGGCATTCGAGATACAGATCTCGTGCAGGCGGGCCGGTGAGGACACGTCGCACGCGCTCTTTGATTTGCTTCTCTTTCCGGGAGACTTTTCCCTTCTGGCCAAAGTCTTCATCACCGAGATCGAACTCAACATAGCCCTGAGGTATGGATCAGCTCTAGATTTTGACATACATTGAAAATAATCACCAACAGACCTCGAGCTGGTGGCCTTCTTTTGCACAATATCGAAGACCATTCTCCAAATACCATTTTCGTGAACCACAGTGTTCGCAACGCTCCCCTTTGGGGAATTTGTGCAGTTCCCTGTTTGGGGCCATGTTGTTGTGGTTGGAGGTTGAGTTGCAAAGATGAGTATCGGGCAGAAACTTAACCCTGTCGGAGAATATAGGACAGTGCTCAACCGGTTTTACCTTGATTCGACAAGATCAATTAGGCAGACGACCAGACTGCACCTTTCCACAATCTTCGTGATTGCGCACAACAGGGAAGCAAATAAGGTTACTGGCGAACTGAGCATCGTTTCAATTTACTACGAGCCATAGATGAACGAAAAGAGTGAATTTTGAGACGCACGGTGCACCAACTGTAGACCTGAACTTGAAGTTGGGCATGTTTTGATAATTTCACATCAGTATTACCCGGTTCCAGCTTGATCCGGCAGCTTAAGAGTAGATTCACATAGAGACATATTTGCGCAGATTGATGAACACAAGACACTGTAAAATGGTAACGAAGAAGGGACCACGAGGTGGAGGAAATGTGCCGCTTTTCTATCGGACAGATCTGTTGCCACCGCGAAGCTCTCCCAATATTTTTCACCTATCCCATTGCTAGTCTGGTCGTCATAAGAGTCTGTGAAACAGACCAAAACAAAGGAAAAAGTCGTGCGACGTGTCTTGCAGTTGTCGAGTTCGCGTAATCAGTATCAATTCCTGTCCAGATAGTCCTCTACGCAACGATCGACGGGGAGCTCGCTGATATTCGAGGCGCCAAGAAATATCTGTAGTCATGCTCCCGATCTGCCAACATCTGCCAACAAGGCCGCACGGAGTGAGCGCTTGTGGAAGTCATTGTCTGTTGAAATAGTTGAGTTGCGACGCTTAAGCCTGCTTGGGGGCCTCCTTGGCCTCAACGGCAGCCTCCTCACCCATGGCAGTGAGAATGACAACGTCTGTTGAGCTTGCTGTCAGCAACTGTTCTCTTGAAATATGGGAGTTGATGTGTCCTTACTGGTGTCCTTCTCGTCAACCTTGAAAAGCTTGTTGATCTTGTCGCCAATCTCGCCGTCAGGGACGCGGACGTCGTCCTTGGTGTCACCGTCGTCGTTCATGAGGGAAAGGAAACCATCGTCGGAGATGTCAAGCTGAGGGTGTACATGTCAGGGGACGGGATGTCATTTTTCAAATTCGCAGTATAGATCGGGACTTACGAGCTGGTACTCGCGGCGCTGGACGTTGGGGACGTCCATGTTGTGGGTGGAGGGGCAGAGATCCTCAAGCTTCTTGCCAGTGAAGATGTCGATGGCGACCAAGTGAACCTTGGCGTGACCGTGCTTGCCAGTCTTGGAGGTAGACATGTCGACGATCTTGCAAGGGCGGCCCTTGATGACGACGTGACCGTTCTTCCTCAGAGCAGAGCACTGCATGGGGTAGGTGGCAGACGCGCCGGCGTCGGCGGACTCGAAGGTGTGATCATGCTACAGAACCGGCGTGTTAGCATACTGAGGGACGCTTGGATGAATACAACGAAAGACAATCTAGAGAAGATGGAAAGTCGAGTGTTCGCAGTCGGCGGTTCGTGGTGTACGGGTGTGCTGCGCTGAGCCGTGGTGCGTCGATGCAGCCGCGGGGCTCACCCAATGCGGGGTGGTTGTGGTTGTGGATGGTGGTTTTTTCCTTCGCCCGAGCAACAACAGCGGTGCAGCGCAGCGCATGCGACCAGCACAAGGACAGAGACGACAGAACAGAGATATCAGCTTGCGCATGTGCTTACCTGAGAGTCGTCGGCCATTTTGAAGGATTGACTTGAAGAAGATGTCTAAAAATCGGGAACGGAGATGTCGACGGATCAAGGGCGATACCCAGCAAAAACAACTGCTTTTATTTTTGAGGGGGGGGGGGAGAGTGTTGTGTAAAGGAAGAAGAGCGGGCTGGAGGGGGGAACGGAGGGGAAAAAGAGGGAAGGCGAGGCGGGAGTAGATAATTTTTTTTCCTGGTTTTATTATTGGGTTTTTTTTTTCTTAGGTCCAGATTCGCGCCCCTCTCCTCTCTCCGACCCTTTCTCACGGGTGTGCAGGCGGGCTGTGTGGGACACTTGCCAGCGTAAAAAAAGGTGGAGTGTGGGCTTTTTTTTTTTTTTTTTTTTTTTCCTCTTTCACCTCTCTCCTCTCAGCATCTGCCACCGCTGACCACGCACAGCACCAAGCTCACAGCAGTCGAAATGTCTATTTCTTGACAACCTAGGTACCTGGGTGTGCTGGGTAAGGTAGGTCGAGACTGCGGTGGTGGCCTGCCACTCTGAGCACCTTAGTGTGAGCCCCTCTGCCCCTCACCTCTGCCCCTCCTTCGGCCACTGCAGCCCAGCCTTCGAGCGAAGGACACTCGGGCCCCCTTGGCCCTCTGCTTCCCGCCCGCAATCATTCACCGCAGGCACCTGCCGGTGAGGCATAGGGGTTACCTCGCCGCAAAGGTAGAGTGCGAGAAGTCGGTCTAAGTCATGAAGAGCCGTCCATGTCCAATGACTCCACGCCGAAAGGTCATTTGGTGCTTTTCTAGATTTGGAGTGCCCGGAACAAGCCCCTCGTTCTGAGGCTGACGAGATACAAGGAATCTCGGCGAGATACGTTTCGGCGAGCCAGCAATGGACAATATAGCTACTCACTAAGGTGCCTACGTGGTACGCGGGCGCCTGCCCAAAGTCATCGAAGCTGTCGGGTACGTCCAGCTCCCGTGGCGACAATACCTCACAGTCCGTAGCACTCATTTTTGGCGCTAATGCCGCCTAACTAGGAACCCGACTGCTGCCAACACTGGCCAATTCAGTCACCCTGTCCGAGCCTCCACTGTCTACGGGGAGGCCCTGAAGGCGGGAGTGATTTGCACGGTATGCGCTCAACATTTCCACCAAACGTGGTCATTCTCGTTGCGCCCGTATATTGGTACCGTGTAAGTATTCATCAATGCCTGCCCCTCCTTTCTGTGCATTGGCATCGGGTGTGTGCGTTCCTCTCGTCTTTTGTGTGTGAAAGCATAGAATCCGCCTCGTCGGAATCAGACAGAGGAAACCGCAAGAAAGCCACAACGGAAAACAAACACGACCTGTTTCTACATCAGTAGACAATCCCACATACCCCTCCATTGATGTCTCTGGAATTGTTGGTTACCCGAGAAACGTCGCGGATTCTGCACAACATGTGTGATGCAGCATCTTCGTCCCTCTCCCGGATACACTTACGCAGTTTGGATGCATCAATGACCTGTTTTTGCGCCTGTCCAAGTCCTGCCCCGCACGTTTGCTTCAGTGCTCCCGCACCGTCGGCCTTCCAAAACGTTGCCCCGCACTTTCAACCTCTGGGCGGGACTTCATCAAGAGAAGCAAACATCCGAACCCCTGCCGCGCCACACTAAGCTCTACGATACGTACTCTTTGTGGCTGAAGAGCCTGAGCTGCAGATCATCCAATCAGAACACATCACCCTGCAGGAGATTATCAGCCTTGTCGGCTCCCGGTCAATATCACAGGTCTACGTATCCTGAGTGAGCCAGCTCGCTTGCCCCCTTCCACGTCCCCCCCATCGACTGCAATCCTTCGATGTCATGGTGTACGACCTCACCAACCGAATCGCTTCGTAGCCTCTTCCCACCGCAAGCCCATCATGTGGCTTGATCGGCTCGCAGCCCAGTCGAACCCGTCTCCGTCACCGTCGCAGCCCGGCAGCCGTCCCTACTCTCCCCTGCCGCGACGAACCTCCAACAGTCCCTATGTCACCTCTCAACGACCCGGCATAACGCCAAGAGGCTCTGCCCTCTCCCTCGTTTCCAATGACTCTTCCAACTCGTTTCTGGCCTCCCGCAAGGTCAACGGGTCCGGCCTTAAGCAATCGCAAATTACCTACGAGGGGCCCGATTCGGTCGAAATCCTGGGCCGGATCCTGGACACCCCCTCATTACCAACACCCGGCGTGAATGGTACAGCCGGGACCATAGCTGAGAAGGATCTCGAGCTCCAATTCGACTTTAATGGAATGAATCTGCGTGAGCTGGCGAGCTCCGACACCACGGCTACGGACGATGCCGATGGCTACCGTCGGCAAACCGCAGAAGAATGTAAGAGCTCTACAAGCTGTTATTCTTTGCGGCCAACCTTCCGTATGCTGACCCCACGCGCAGATGAGACTAGCAAGGCCCAATTTGAAGATCTGCATCGGTCCATCGCAGCTTGCGACGGCGTTCTCAGCTCCGTCGAGACGAACCTGACGAGCTTCCGCAACGATCTCGCGACAGTCTCCGCAGACATAGAAACTCTGCAGGCCCGCTCGACAGCCCTCAATGTCCGACTTGAGAACAGAAGAGCAGTGGAAAAGGCGTTCGGACCCGTGGTTGAGGAATTGAGCGTCTCCCCCCATGTCGTCTCCAAGATATCGGAAGGTCACATCGACGAAACATGGGTTAAAATGCTAGCTGAAGTGGATAAACGTGCCACAGCATACAAGAAGAACACAGCCAGTCCGCGGCAGAGTAAAGCTTGGGCTGACCTCGGCCCTCTATTGGAGAAGCTTACCATGAAAGCCATCGAAAGGATACGAGACTTCATTGTCGCCCAGATCAAGGCGCTCAGGTCCCCCCACATTAATGCCCAGATCATCCAACAACAGAACTTCCTCAAGTTCAAAGAGCTTTTTGCATTCTTGCACAAACATCACTCAAAGCTTGGTGAGGAAATCAGCCAGGCTTACATGAATACCATGAGGTGGTATTATGTGAATCAGTTCACTCGATACCAGAAGGCTTTGGAAAAGCTGAAACTACACACGTTGGATAAGAATGACGTCCTTGGACACGAAGAAACATCACGAAGAGCCACAGTTTTATCTGCAACAAAGCCGGTCGGTCCGCCGCACGATGCTTTTAACCTGGGGCGCCGCATCGACCTCTTGAAGACGAGCAATCAATCCGCGATATCATCTTACTTGGCCGAGGAGGACCAGACGACTCACTACCTCGAAGTTCCTTTCAG